CGCTCGAGGCGGGATTGCTCAGAAAACTCGCCTGGGCATGCTTCCACACTTCGAAGTTGCCTTCGCAAAGTGGGCACTCGACAGGCTCGTGGTGTTGCGCAATACCTCTGCACGCGGTGTTGCGCAATCCTCTTCGTCGAAAGTGCGGACAGACAAGACGGGCATTGATTGGAAACTGTACACACAAGAGCAAGCTGCCGAAGACCATGCCCTTCTGCGCGACTATTTGCCTGATGTAGCAAGCATTCGCGTCGGCTGGGAAACCTTATATCACCTGGCCTGCCGGAGGAATCGATCGCGCACGCCCAAGCAAGGCTCGATGAAATAGTTCCCTCTCCAGGCCAATGCGCGGCCATCTCTGGAGGGGCCGGAGGCGGCAGCGCAGGAACGAAGCCTGGAGGTGGAATGGCACTCGAATGAAGCTGTGCCCGTAGGATCGAGGGGTCAGCCCGAAGAAATTCCTCGCTGATGTCGGGGTCGGTGAACAGCAGCAGGGGCCGGTTACCCATGGTGCACAATATGTCGTCGCACATGACTTCTGCAATCGCCTCCAGGTCCCGCACCAACTGCTACGCCCATGGGTGAACATGCGTCTGTAGGACACGATCAGAATCCAGCGGAGGTTTACCCCACTCGAACTCGCCGAACAACGACGCGAGCAACTGCGTGCACATCTCCGCGTGGCGAACCATCGGCTGATACATGCCCAGACGCTGCACACGAAGTTCAACATTTGCAGGACAACTAAAACATTACCTGACGGGCCGCAACTGCATTGGGAAGCTGCTGGCGCGTGCTATCGGGCTGCAGAGTGCTAGCCCTGCCACGCTGGAGTATACGCACTCGTCGCATAGGGTTGCCCGTGAGTGTCGTCGACTCTTCCTCTGAAACTGTGTGAATGATGAGACCAGTCGTCGCAGCCCCCACGACCATACTATTGAATACTGAATGCGTCCAGCAGGGAAGCGAACACCTCCACCATAATTTGCCGAGGGAGCGCCAGGCGGCGTCAATGTTGAAGTTCAGCAGAGTTGGTGCTACCAGCAGGCAAGCGGGGTCCGAGGTATCGGCCATCGACTGGACGGCATCACCAATGGCGCAAAATGCACACGGTTCCCGTAGCTTTGTCGGCTCCAACGCCGGATAATCGTGGCACAATCCGGCGCTTGCGCACAACATGCACGAAATCTCCCGCAAGAAGTACGCTCGTGGGCTTACGGAAGACTGTGTTCGCATAGCGTTCAGCTCGGCCAAAGTCGGGAACCAGTGTAAGTTTATGTATGTCGTTGGCGTACGTGTTTAGATCCACGGGGACTTCTGCACAGCATGGTCGGCGGAGAACGTCTGGCAGCCACTCGCATTTAGCGTGCGATCGTGCCTCGCTTGCTGCCCAATGGAATATGTCCATGTACTTGTGGCACACAACAGTCAACGAAACGCCAGCACTAGCATCGCAAGGCAGCGTGCCAGACCCCAGAGCCATGTACGAGATAGCTTCGTCGCGCTCCCACCGGGCAGCCGCATGGTGCAGATGTTGTTCAAAGAAGGCGATGGAGATTTTGGTCGACGTTGCCTCCCCTGATATATGCCACGCGATCAAAGAGCAAGGCGCAGTGGAACGCGTTAGTGGCACCGAAGAGCCGGTCGAGGTGCGACGCCTTTGCCTTGATCCGGCGCCGCTGCCTGATCTTGACAGCGCCGATGGCCTGCTCCCGGCGCGCGCCTGCGCGGTGTCCCGCGGCACGCGGGCGCGCGCAGTTGCGAGCCCAGTGCTGCCACGGGCGTCGATAAAAGTACTCGCCGTAGGTGTCCGTGGAATGCAGAAGTCGCCTGCCAGGCACTCCAAATTCCCCGCCCTTCTCCGATGTGCGGAAGCTGCCGACAAGGTGCACGAGGAGAAAAGTCTGCCGAGTCCGCTCCATGCAGGCGTGCAACAACATAAGAGCATGACGAAGACGCGTGCTTGACAGTCTGGTAGGATGACCTCCAACCCCGAAGCGAGAAGACCGGCTGCAGCCATTTGGCCGGAGAAGGATGCGCCAGGCCAGGGCCAGGGCTGGGGCAGCCCAAGGCGGTGGTGCCTTGCGAATCGTGCCACGGCAGAGCATCTTGATGACTGCGCGGGACTCCTTGTTTACCCCGTCGAGCTCGTTGTCAGAATGCGGACGCCCGAGGCTGTGATCTTCATAACGTGCGGTACTCTTGGCAAACCAGTCGGTGCCATGACCGGCAACGCCACCGAGCGGGCCAGAAGCCGCGAGCGCGCCCCGCCACTCGCCTGCGCAGTTGCAAACCGCGCCTGCGACATGTAACAGCCGTCTCTTAAGCCCGAGCCAAGTCCCCGCAATCAATCGCGCTGACTTCCTACATGTAGCAAACTGACGAGCACAATGGTTGAGCCGCAAATTTGGCTGATGCGTAGTTTGCCCACGTCTCCAATCCCGTAGTCGAAGATGCGGAACTCGACGGTCTGCTCGTTTAAGAAATTCACGCGCCTCATATTCGTTCATATCTTGATTCGACCACGCTGCCGAAACCACTGGCATGTGTCGCGCCGCGCGCCGAAAACCCGGGAAGAGGAAACTCTCTAGACCACCGACGCCCAGAGGGCTGGTGGGATTGTGCAAGGCGTGGGCCCGGAGGCCCGGACCACTTCCACGGGCCAGCGTTTCGTCCTGCGTCGCTCCCTGCTGCTCCCGAGGCCAGGCGAGGGCCCCCCCCCTGGAGACCAGAACGCGGCCCCAATCCCGCCGCCCCAACTCCTGCGGAGCGTCGGATCTCGGGGCACCTCTTCGTCACCTCTCCACCGAGGGCACCCCCTGCCGCGCAACGCCCGCGGGGCAGGGGCCTCGGGGATCTACTGGCCCGGGTCAATCCGAGCCCGGGCCAGTCAGGATCCTGCAGGGTCCTGCAGGATCCTGCGCGCGGACCCGGGTCAGTGCACCCCTGGCTCTGCAGGATCCTGCAGAATCTGGCACTCTGACCAACCCCCATTTGCACTCACCCCCGTCTCTTGAGCCCCGTCGGCTTCATGCGCGCGTTTGCGGGGTGATCCAGAATTGAAACGGAAAAACGGCATGCGCCTCCGTAGCCTTTGGCGCTCCGCGCGGAATTCTTGGATCTGGGCTGGACCCCCCTCCCTGGCGCGCGCGGCGCCAGAAGCGAAGCGAAGCGAAGCGAAGTGCGCAAGTCCGCCGGAGCGGGGCCCTTGAGGGTCGGCGCGGGCGGGCCGGGGCCCTTGCACCGTGGTGCCGGAGATGATCATAGAGAAGCCGTCGCATGCGCGATAAATTGCCCCTCCAACTTGCGCCGCGCACAAGTGTCGCAAGCAAGCTGTAACCACCATCGGCAACCGGCGTCGTCGGATGCCCTTGCGTCGTCCACCAGCTCGTGCGAGGTCAAAGAGCTGACGATATCATGATCCCATATTTTCCGCTGTCCCCCGTGTTTCCTCTGCGCAGGTCGTTTGTCATGTACTGGGGGTTCCCAGACGGCGGCGCGCCGTGACCAGCGGTCGGTGCAATGGTTTGCTATGCGGCACGCCCGCCGCCACTTCCTTTTGAAATAAACTGTTGTCCAATATTCGATTTGAGCTCGTTTGGCATGGGCGTCAGCTGCGCGCGTTGCTCTCCGGACGAAGTCGATCCAGGATTCTGTGGTGAAGACGTCAGATGTGCTACCGTTGTCGCTGTCGCCATTGTCTCGGATGCTGTCGTTGGAGTCGCTCTCAAGCGTTGTGGTCTCTAGATTCGTTTTCTCCACGTGCTCGGAATTGCTGGCCTGATGGTTCGATTGGTCGTCGTTATCAGGGGGCTTTTCGTGCGCCTCCTGCTGGTGCCAACTATTATTCTGATCATCTTGCGTTGTGTCCGCTGTAGTGTAAGGAGCATGTCTTTAGTGAGAACCCACGAAGTGCATCCGTACGTGACAGCAGGCGTCACGGTCCCGTTGAAAAGTCGTAAGCGGCTAGCAAGAGGGTGGTGCTTGCAAGTCAACTCGTGCCTCAGCTGGTTGAACTTGCGCCATCCAGAAACAATTCTACAGTTGAGCTCCTTTTCGTGGAAGCCGTGAAACGTGAGTGCTCTGCCTAAGTACTTCGCGCTCTGCTCCGCTTCCAAGGTCTCAACATTGCCCCCGTCGACGGTGACAAATTGAATTGTTCTACCCTGGCGCCGGGTGACACTCGTAAGTATTTTGGTCTTGTCTGGGTGTAGTTCCAGGCCGCATTGGGACGACTGGTTCTTCAGGTCGCAAAGTAAGCATTTCAGTTGGCGTAGACTCGGCGCAGACAATAAAATATCGTCTGCAAATCGAAGATTGGTAATGGTGGAGTCTGTGGTGAACCCCATTTGTATGACGAGCTTCCGCTTGGACCACGACCGTTTCAGGCGTCGGAAGATCTGTTCAAGGAGCGCGTTGCACAAAAGTGAGCTGAGCGGGTCCCCTTGCTTCACGCCTCTCTCAATGTTGAACTCGGTGCTCGTAGTGTCTGTGCGGACTCTTGCAGTTTGATTGTCGTGAACTTCTGTAGGAGTTCGATGTAGAATGAGGGTATATGCTGGTCCACCAGAGCCTGCCATAGTGAATCATGGCTGACACAGTCGAATGCTTTCTTGAAGTCCACAGCTGCCGCCCAGAGAGGTAGTTGCCGTTCTTCCGACTGGTTGTGAAGCATGCTTGTGGTAAAAAGGTGGTCTTCGGTGCTGTAGCCATGTCGGAAGCCTGCTTGGTCGACGCTTTGTTGGCCGTCCAGTACAGGGCTTAGACGATTGTACACGAGTCGGGACATCAACTTGTGCAGGAGAGGGATGATCGCGATTGGTCTATAGTTCTGCGGTAGCTTGGGGTCCCCAGATTTGTAAATTACGCTTATGGTCGTACATCTCCATTGCTCTGGTGGTAAAACAATATGGTTGCATGATGTCGTTAAACAAACATTGAAGGCGCTGCTCTATGCACGCCCCGCCGGCCTTCAACAGTTCTGCTGTGATCCCCGCCGTGTCTTTGCATTTGCCATTTTTGAGTTGCTTGATTGCTTGGTGTACCTCTTCTTGTGAGAAGGGTGGTATGGGGTCGTGGGTTACGTCGGTGTCGGTGTTCCTGCGGGGCGTGTCGGTTTCTCGTGTCGCACGCTCGCTGTGAAAAACGTTACGTCGGTAGAGCTGCTCGTAGAATGTGGCAAAGATGTCGGCGATGCTGTGTCGATCGGTCACGTCGTTGCCATCGCGCCCCGTCGTCGACGGGATCAGGTCTTTGTGCTTGGTCGTTTTGGTGCTCGCTTGTTTTTTGAGGCCCTTGAAGCTGCAGATGATGTCCTTGATCTTCTCCTGCCGCCGGGCCCGTTTCAATGACCGTAGCTCCTTGTATATGTGTTTGCTAATCGTCTTGCGGGTCACGGTGTCCTCGTGTGGTGTGCTGCGTCTTTGAGCTATGAGGTCACGGAGTTTTTGGCTCTGCTCGGTTTCGGAGTCACGGTGGTGATTGCTATCGGCGCGGGCGTGCTGGGCCTCATAGGCTGCACTTGCAGCTATCAATGCTCGTTCGGTGTCTGTGCATCTCTCGCTCACTGTTGAATCTTGCGAACGTGATTGCAACGATTCTGTTACGTGCTGCTGGAAATGTTGATTGTTAGCCGGTGGTCGCCCTGCCGGTATTGTCTTCGGTTTCTTCCGTTTCCGCCGTTGCTTCAAGGACGAAGCAGACAAGTCGAGTCGCACATGAACAGCCTGATGGTCGGAGCCTAAATCTGGGCACGGGGACGCGTGAGCATCAAGAACTATGGAGCGGAACGCGCGGTCGATGAGGACGTAGTCAATTTGTGAGCGTGTTCTGCCCGAGCTGCTGCTAGTGTATGTAAAGACATGCTGTGGGTGCTTGTAAAAGTGCGTGTTCGTGATCATCAGCTTCTCCTTGTTTGCCCATGCTCGTAACCATCGTCCTCTGGCCTTGCACGTCCCCATTCCATATTTGCCCACTATTTTGCCAGGCATGACGTGCTCGTCGTCGTTGCCCGTCTCGCCGCTGATGCTCTGAACCCCAACTTGCGCATTGAAATCGCCTGCCAATATTGTCATTATTCGCTGCTGGGTTGCCTCCTTATGGAGAACGGTAAGGATGTCGTATACCTGCTGCACGTGCGTGTCGCCATAACCTCCGTGGGGAAAATACGCCGCGATGATCCTTATGGATTGTTCTGGCAAGTCTAAGTCCATGTAAGCGATCCTCTCGTTGATGGCCGTGAAGCTCTTGATGGATCGGGCATGCCGGCTATGCAACATAATCGCCACTCCTCGTGAATGTTGATCATGTCCTGCAGCTGCGAATATGTGTTTTCCAAGTGATCTGGTCCACATTTCTTTCTTTGCCGTTCTCTATGTTTCGTTGATGGCAATCACATCCCAATTTATGTCGGCTATCTCGTGCAAAAGCGTGTCAATGTCGTCATCTGTTGTCAGGCTCCTGGCATTCTTGTGTACGAGTGTGAACTGGGTTTTTGCTGGGGTTGAAGATTGGAGGTCGTTACTTGGGCATGGGAGGTTGGAGCTGGACGGTTGCGCGTGCGTCGCACGATTTGGAGGCGGCGCCTTCGAGGTGGGAGCTGGCGTCGAAGATGTGATTATCTGCCTCCGCGTGGTGGTCGAGGCTGGAGAAGACGGAATAGCCGGAATGGCTGGCGTAGTCTGTTGTCGCAGGATGCACAGTGGAACGTTGCCAGACACGGTGTTGTAGACTCGTCGTCCTCCTCCTCTTCCTGCTTCGGGCTGGTGGCGTTGAAAATCGAAATCTGGAGGTGGAGGGTGATGTGTAGGTGGAGGTGGAAAGCCGGATGGTGGAGGTCTGAGGTCGAAGTACTGGGCTGGTGGAAGTCTGAGGTCGGCAGGTGAAAGTGGAGGTGGAAAGTCGCTTGCTTGAAGCTGGAGGTCGGGATTCTGTGCTGGTGGAGGGTGGAGGTCGGTTGGTGTAGGTGGAGGTGGAAAGTCGGATGGTGGGGCAGATGCTGGTGGTTGGAGGTCGTAGTGCTGAGCTGGTGGAGGCTCTAGGTCGGCATGTGTAGGTGGAGGTGGAAAGTCGGATGGTGGAGGTCTGAAGTCGAAGTATTGGGCTGGTGGAAATATGAAGTCGACAGGTGGAGGTGGAAAGTCGCTCGCTTGAGGCTGGAGGTCGGGATGCTGCGCTGGTGGAGGGTGGAGGTCGGTTGGAGGAGGTGGAGGTGGATAGTCGAATTGTGGCGATCGGAGGTCAGAGTGATGAGCTGGTTGGAGCTGGAGGTCGACAGGTGGAGCTGGAGTCGGAAAGTCGATTGCTTGAGGTTGGAGGTTGGGGTGCAGAGCTATAGAAGGAAGAGGGTCGATTGGTGGAGGTGGAGGTGGAAAGTCGTTTGCTTGAGGCTGGAGGTCGGGATGCTGCGCTGGTGGAGTGTGGAGGTCGGTTGGAGGAGGTTGAGGTGGATAGTCGAATTGTGGCGATCGGAGGTCAGAGTGATGAGCTGGTGGGAGCTGG